ATTTCAACAAATGGTATACGTGTTGGTCATACTTCACGGCCCGTTCCCTCGTAGACATACCAATCGTATTGATATTAACCATAATGTTCTCCACAATCATGTGGTGGATAACCGGTCAGGTATGGGACGGGTGGCGGTTCAGTGCACACCTTCTCATTATGATACTCCTGGCACTGGTATCCCATAGTCTGGGACTACTAGTATCGGCCATATTCATCAACAACATCCGGGCCAGTCTACTGTCGTTCACTATATTCGTTACACCACTACTGCTATTAAGTGGTGCACTCATACCCATCCGGGTACTGCCCTCATATTTGCAGACTTTCTCATATTTGTCTTTTTTCAGGTATATTTAATTTATTATAATATTATTGCTTACCTATATTACAATTATTAGTTGTTATAAACATGACTAACTGAATAGCTGCTATTACATTGGACATGTAATGTAATACTACTCAAATAAATGTTAAATTATTGTAACTTATTAATATGTTTAATATCATAATGCAGATTAATGTATACAATATTGGATAGATTACGAAATTTATTCATAGAGTATTCATCATTCAATTTTATATTACATTCTATGACTAATAAGTTATTTAAGACTTTTAGCTAACTAGTAAGTTTTAATAAGATATATTGAACTATATAAATAAGTAACCTGCACAGTTCTATAATATAGAATATAATTATTATAACTATTTTATCATTTGAAAACAAGTGCCATAAACTAAAACTCTTGATTACAGATTAGCATACGAATCAATGTTAATAATACTGTACGGTTTTAATCGATGCCCCGGTATTACGGAACCCCTAACTATGGATTCACTGACCCATGAGTTTGGGGTCAATATGTATCACATGGAGGAGTGTCTGGAAGGGGCCGATAGTCTAGAGAATGTGACCCGTAATAGCCTGTCAGCTCTCAACCGATTGGTCGCCAAACAAAACCCCTCCCGAGTGTTGGAGTGGTTTGCTCTGAAGGACAGGGATCTCTACGTTTATATCAGTCTATTAATTGTAAATATGATTACATTTTATTCTTTGGCCTATTATGCCCTTAAATGGAGGGCTAGGATTCAATAGTTTTTAGAAATAATTTTTTTTAAAATTTTGTAATTAATTTGTAATTTATTGTTTTACATTTTATTTAAATTTTAACTATTATTAATAACAATGTTAATGACCATTTAATATAGTTTGTCTTTTTAATGATTTCTAATATAATACTTTCACCTCTGAACTTTTTAATAAAAAATTGTATTTTAATATTTAATGCGCTAATTAATTACTTAATTACTAATTTTAAATTTTATAAAAAAGTATACTTAGAAAGTAATTACCATTAATAAATTAATATAAATAAAATATTTTATTATAAATTTTAACGCAAATAAATCAACAGTCCAAAAGTTATTTAAGCAAATAATGAATTATAAACTTAGTTTTCATTAATATCATAAACATTCTCAAAATATGGGAATTATATTATAACTAATTTAGAAAAATAAATAAAACTTTGAATTTTGAAATAAATCATATGAAGGCTAAATGATTAATAAAAATAGTAATGAATCTAATCAGTAATTCAGTTGTTTATCTCACAAATACTTTATGTTATTAGTAAAATTGTCTGTGCCAAAGATCTATGCTATCTATAATATTACAATTTAGATATATTTTCAAAAATATACTAATTTATAAAATAATGTAATTTTTTATTGTTTTCTATATTAGAATAAAATTTATTGTTTAGTATTTAATTTTAAAAGTTAAATATTTTAATGATTAAATTATGGTGGGTATCAACACCACCACTAGTAGTGATGAAGTGATAACAATGACTCCCATCAGACATACCATTCCCACCACCGATGATAGGCTGAAGTTGTATTGGAATGGATTGACATATAAAACGAGTGATAATAAGAAACTCATCTCAAGAAACAAAACTAATGTCAAGACTATTATCAATGACTTGAACGGAGAGATAACGAGCGGACAGTTGACCGGAATATTAGGGCCGAGCGGGTCCGGCAAGACTACACTCATTGAATGTCTGGCCGGTAAACGAGTGGCCGGACTCAGTGGCCGGGTATGGGTTAAGTCAACCAATGATAAGTGAGTTTTAAAAATATTTTTTATATTAAATATTTAGTCTAAAACTAAATTTAGATAATAATTAATTTTAGTCGCAAATACACAGAAAAATAAAACTAAGGATCGCATACAACGGACAGACAGATGCACTGGTAAATGAGCTAACGGTGCGGGAAGCCCTCAAATACGCCTCCGAACTCAAGAAAAAACATATAAAACAATATGACTTTTTCGATGTTAACAATGCAACCAACAGCTCCCAAACCAATA